CTCAGCATAGCCCCAACGCTAAACTCAAAGAAAAAGGGTTCTCTGCAATAAGGGACCAACTGATGTGTGAATGTGCAAGGTAACTTTTAAACTGCAATCTTTCAGGGCACTCTGCCCTAATTAGTATTCTAATTAGGCACTTTGATTACCTAGAAGTGTGTCTGGAGCAAGCCTTCCTCCTCTGCTATTACAATGAGAAGTCTGTGAAGACTTGACAGAGACAGTATGATTGTTTTATTAGGCCCACAGAACACAGAACACCATGGCTGGTAAGACTAGGTCTGAGTTAAAACAGGCACTTACAGGGGATTTCACTTTCCTTCCAGTATGTATTCTCATCTTTACCAATTCTTTGCTTTCACTTCTTTCTCCCTTTCCTTGAGGCCAGATATGTTGGTATTATCTGTATCCTGACCCAATGTGATTCTCCATATCTGAAAGACCAATGCTAATGTATACAAAAGAGCAGTCTTTATGTGGCAAGTGTGAGGCTAGGCACTTTCGGCTGCATAATCTCAATGAACTGTTACCACTCATGTCAAGCTTATGGTTAGTAGTGAACCAAAGCTTGAATAAAATAACTTGCCCTGTGGTAGCTGTTCTACAATTCTTCTTTGATAATTTATAAACATTTTTAATTCTTGACTTTCTCTTGGAGTCTTATCTATTGGAGACAGAAAAAGGAAAAAAGTCAGGTGAGGATAAAAGCTCTCTAAAAGTTTGATTATTAACTGGTTCAAGTACAAATGTAAAGGTAACAAATTACTCTTGGGAAGGATACTTAAAAAGATGTACTGACAGTGTAAGACATGACAAAATAATAATCTATAAATTATCAAGGGTTCATGAAGGAGGCAGGGGGGGGAGGGGGAGAAATGAGGAGCTGATACCAAGGGTTCAAGTAGAGAGCAAATGTTTTGAAAATAAGGGCAAGAAATGTACAAATGCACTTGACACAATGGATGTATGTATGGATTGTGATAAGAACTGTACGAGCCCCCAATAAAATGATTAAAAAACATGTACCATACTTTCTTTACAGCCTTGGAATCCCACAAGGGCAGTTCTACCCTGTTCTGTAAATTGCATCGCTATGAGTTGGCATTGACTCAAAGACAGCGAGTTTATTCCTCATGAAGATGAGAAGACCCCTGGTAAATTATTTGTAAGATTGAAAAACTTAACTGATCCAATCATCTCACCAACATTTCTAAATTTCAGTTAAACAGAATGTGAGAACTTTCAGAGGATTTAAAAACAGGGAGTCTTTTTTGGAGTAAAAAAAGGACACATGTGACCTGGCGATTTCTATTTTCTTCCAAGTCCAGATAGCTACAATTTATTCTTAACTATACAGTAAGCTTTAAAATATCCATACATTACAACAGAAGACCCAGCCACATTGATCTTCAAGCCTGGGAGAGGTCTGTCTGAACTCTCATTGTATCTAGAACATACAAGGTTCCTGGCTAAAGATAAATAAAAAAATATGCTAACACCCACAGACAAAACTTATCCAATTAACCTTGTCTGTTCCTTTGTCACACCCACCACTGTCTTTGCTAGAAAAGATGTTATGATTCCACTCCCTGGAAACCATACAGCTCTCAACAGTTTCTGGGGCTAACTCTCGCCCACACAAAACAAAAACAACAACAACAACAACAACAAAACCCTACATCAGACCTGAAAATAATCTAGGCAAAAAACATATAGCATCCCTCCTCCCAAGTCTCTCACATACCTTTCTTTTATCTTATGTTCACATGCCTCACTTCCTTATGCAAGATACCTGCAAACATGGCTCCATTCACATGGCCCTAGTTTGTTTTGGCTTATGTACAGGTTTGTCCTCATTAAGCCAACTCTGAAGAATATACCAGGAATACTCAAAAAAAGAGAAAAGTACCACCAACTTTAGGTGAGGCTTAAGTACAGAACAACTGGCTGGGCTATTTTCACTACTACACACCAAAGACTAAAATTCATCCAGGCTTATAGGACACAAAACAGGCATGTTCCACCCAACTTAATTTCAAACTAAATGTTCAAAATGCCTTTCAACTTTCAAGATTAAGCATGATGTTGGCTACCAAACAAAATCTTACCAAGCCCATTTTAGCAATTTTAAAACAGTTACAGCTTAGATTACAGTCTGAGCAAATCTAGTCTTGGACTTGAATGAACAAATATAAATCCATGTGTAACATGGCACATGGTTCAAGTCCTGCACCCTGCAACATTGTAACTGTGACATTTTGGATAGCAAGTTACTTAATCTTCCACCCTTGGATTCCTTGTAAGTCAACTAGTAACATTATTTTAAGAATTAGATGAAATAATGCACCATTCATCACAGTGTGTACTAACACACCAAGTGTTCAATAAACTGTTCATTTTGTTCAGTGGTATCTATTGAAAATGTCCATAACTTAATTTCAAAATCACTTATTCCAGCAGAGTCTGGTCACTGTACAAACAAAACAATCTTGATTTTCCAAACAGAATTCCATACATGTGTGTGGGTGAAAGAGGGATTTCATTTTCAAAATAATTCCAAGAAAATGGCTGTTTACTATTCCCAAGAAAATGGTGTCAACTGGAATTTTTGACCAAAAGAATAAACTTCAGATATTTTTAAGTAAGAAAACCAAGATTTAAATTTTCATGGGTTCTAGATACAACTAAGCCTTGACTACAAGCATGGGGTGGAGGCACAAAGCAGCAGCAAAGTAAGACACAACTATCAATGGCATTAGAGAAAGCTATAACCCAATGTAAATGTTCACATTAAACCTGTCATTCAGAAAAGTTGTGCTTATGAACATCGTTTTTAACATACTTTAAACTTAAATAAACTTTGCTAAACAAGGACATAAAACCTTTAACAGCTGAATGAGAAGCTTAAGAGTTTCAAGCCATTAAATATCATGGCTAGAAACAAATTAAGAACAAGTTTCCTTCAAACAGCAGAGAGGAATGCTGTAACTTGCTAGGCTGTTCACTCTAGTCATGAGACAAATTACAGTTCTGAATTCGTATTTCAATCTGCTTCAGGGTACATAACATACAAATTTCTGATGTACAAATCTGTTCACGCAAATAAACTGTCATCTAAAAGGCCTCCAAATGAGAACAAATCTACAGGTCATCCTTACACAACATGGCAACAATAAATCAATCCAAGGGTTCAAGTAACACAACAAAAACTCTAGTGAAATTAAAGACTAGGGATATGTCATAATGGGTCTTGGATTATATTGCCCCTCCTATACAAAAATTCTCAAGAAGCCCTGGTGACATATTGGTTACAAAATGGGCCATTAAGGTCAGCAGGTTGAAATCACCAGCTCTGTGGAAGAAAAAAGAGGCTTTCTACTTAAAGTTACTGTCTCGGAAACCCATAGGGTCAGTTCTACCCTCTAGAGTCGCTCCAAGTTGGAATCTAGTCAGCAGTGGGTTTGCTCGGCTTATACAAGTATTCTCACACTTGGGGGATAAACACTTTACTACATGGGTCAGGACCACCTGCGTAAAAATTCCTATAAGATTATTAACAAGGCCTGATTATTACATTAAAAAACAAACTGCTACCTTCAATTCAAAATAACTTCTCTATAGTACACTAATGAGTGAGTCAAAAGCCCAAGTTATTGAATAGGGCCAACTTTCAGAAGACTCATTCCAAATCCTTCACTAATTTATTAAGAACAAAACACGGTCGTAAAAACCAGTCAGCTGAGCTGACAGTGGAATTATGGACATCCCAATTCATAATGAGTTTGAGGGGTGATCACGCTATCACTGCAAAACTAGTGGTCAGAGACAAACCTGGGCTGGAAACCATAAAGTCTAATCTAATTCTTGTGCTGAAATAAACTTTCCACAAGGCCTAGGGCAAGCCACACTGATATTCTAAGAATGCTCAGACATACAAATATGTAACATTCCAAATAAGTTTTTTTTGGTCATTTCCTGTAAGTAAAAAGTTTTATGACTAGCCAAAAACCAAAGCAAAACGAGGAAACAGGAATACTTGTGGCACACCTTTCTTAAATGAGCATATTTGGGGAGGGAGGAGCATATTGCAGTTTTTGTTTTTTTAATTTACCTATAATTTCTGCAACAAACACACCGAGTTTCTCACAAAACTCAAACCCACGTAATCCAGATCTGAATTTCAACAAATCCCACCAGGCACTTCTATAGTGGTACCCTCAGAAATTCCAGAGAATGGCCAACAGGATCCTGTTGTTAAAAGCTCATTATCAAAAGGTCCCACAACCCTAATCTCTGAGTATGAACATCTAGGTACATCAACCAAAAACCTACACACACCACCCCACCCCACCCTCCCCGCAGGCTGTTGGCATTTCCAGGTTATACGTGGGGCTTGGGACAGCTAACACCAGGAAGCTCCAAGATTATTATTAGAGCACTTGGGGGAGTCGTCTTGAGTCCAACGAAGACCCAAAGATATCTGGGGGAGTAGACAGCAGTTGTCCCTAGCCATTTCTCTTTCCTGCCCCATCCAAACTTCAACCACACGGGCCTGGGAGGCCCGGGAGGGGGAGGCCATTTTAATGAAGCCTGGCAGAGGAACGAGAAGGAAGGGGAAGAGAGAGAACCAGGTAAGGGCGTTCAGAAAGGAAGGTTCGCACTTTCCCAGCGGCGCCCGAGTCGCGTGGCAGCACCTGCGGCGTGAGGAGATGGTTCAGGGGCTTAGGAGGGAAGAAAAGTCGCGGTGGACTACCACGCGGGGGGTCGAGTAGTCTGAGCCCTGAGAGCGCGGCCCTTTACCCTGAAGCGGGAGAAAGGACCCCCTTCTAAAGACAACCGCGCAGACCCTCGGCCCTGAGTTGGGGGCTACTACCCAGAGGTCCAGAAGGCGGGAGTTGGCCACTGCCTGGTTCTCCTCATCCGGCCATGCGGCGCGGGGGCGGCCATCCTGAGGGGTCCGGGACCCAAGAGGGCCCGGGGGGCCCGGACGCGGCGCTCACCCGCGGGCCGCCTCCAAGCTCTTGATGAGCTTCTTGATCTTCCAGATCTCCACGTTCCTGTCGGCAGCACTGGGGTCGTCCGCCATCTTCTCGCCTCCTCCTCCCTAGAGCGGCCCGGCAGGGCCCGGAGACACCAAGACCACAGAGTTAGCGCCGCCGCTGGGGCAGAGCGGCCCCCTTCCAGCCCCCCTGAACTGCCCTCCTCTCAGCACCTCTTGCGGCCCGCCGCGCTGGTCGCCGGCTTTTCCCTCCTCCTGGCTTACCTAAGGGCCCAGTCCTGGGCGGCAGCGGCTGCTCCTCCCCGGCGGCGGCTCCGCGGCGGCGGCGGCTCTGACGTAGGACACCGGCTCCCTCTCTCCAGGCAGCTGCATGTGTTGCAATCCGCTCACATGGGGCCTGTGACATCACTTCCTCCGCCAGGGGCGGAGTGGAAGGCGGCGGGCGGAAGGGAGGGGGCCGGAGGGGGTGGAGGCCGGAAGCTCTGCGCACGCCGCGACTCTCCATTGGCTCTTTGCGCAGTGCCCTACAATGGAACCGTCGATTGGTCACAGCTGGAACGGACCGGCCTTGTGAGGTAGCGCGGGGGGCGGGGCGGGAAGGGTGCTTTTCCTTCCGGCCCGGCTAGCCGGGAGGAGGCAGCCGGCGGAAGCCGGGGCTCTCGCGACGATTTACCGGACCCCCGCCGGGCTTGAAGGGGGGCGGTTCTTAAAGGGCGAGGCGCCGCGTCTTCATCTGGTACCTTCGTCCTTCGTGAAGGAATGGACCTGTGGGGCTTTGCGACGTGCCGCCACGTGGTCCGACCCTGACAGGCTGTTTGGCGCCTGAGAAACCTCAATGTAGCGCTTCGCGTTGAGAGGCTTCGTCGGTGAAGAATTGCTGCGGCGTGCATACGTCACAGCAGCTGCGCGGACTCCTGTTCGGATCCCGGATCAGTGTGTTCTGTCAGGACCCCTTTCCCCTCTTACCCCTCAGGGCCGTAGAGGAAAACCTCTCATGCGAGGGGTTTGTGGGATGGAAAAAAGGGGCTGCCGGAGGTCGGGGGGCTGCCGGAGGTCGGAGGTATCTGACCTCGTGAATGGTTTGGTCTGAGAGGTTGAGAGTGGAGATGGGAAGAGTTTTGAAGTAAGATGGATAGCTTTATAAGAATTTGATCTTTTCGAGTTAGATTTTTTTTAGTTGGCTACTTTATTTCAGTTGGTTTCTTGCAAATATTTGTGCTAGATCCCTTTTTCCTGGGAACACAGGGCAGAACAAATTCGGTAACAGTGCCTCTCCTCGTGGCTCTTAGAATCTAGTTGGGTCTAGAACTCACTGGGATTTCATACTTTGTATAAATAATTGCACAAATAGGTAACTGTAGTGCGTTCTGCACCCTCGATGTGAAAAACATGTGAAACAGTTCACTGTAGATAGGTCAGTATAAGTAAGCCTATGCTTGGATTGCATACTGGGTGCTGCGTCCCTGTCAAGAATTGTAAATTTGAAAAGAGGCGTTCATATTGTAGGATGCTGGTGTGTAGCTGGGAGTGAAACATATGCCAACCACACTTTGAAGCAGAATCTTTGCAGTGAAAAATGCCAAACTGTTCACTACAAATTAGTAAGGAAGCACAAATAAGCCTTGCTTACTAGGTAACCTAGTATGTTGCATGCAAATGGTAATGTCAGGTAGCAAATGGATTTGTGTGGACTTTGAGTCCTGTTGGCATGTATTCTCAACTTTTTCTATGTCTTGGAGATGGGGGATAATTACCCTTACATGGGAAAATCGAGTCAAGGAAAGGTGAAAGGGACTTGCTTAGAGTCACATGGATAGTTTATAGCTTTATAGTTTATAATGAATGGTATCATGTTCATTATAGCGTACCACCACCCCACTAGCTATGCTTCCATAGAGTGGGGATGCAGGTTTTTCTATACAGCAAGTCTTTACCCCAAGAAATGAATTTTCCCCGTTTGGAATCTCTTAAAGTTTCATTTTATACATTTTCATCTTAGGAAATGAATAATAACATAATAGTTATTGTACTTATATTTACCACTCATGGTACTTACTAGTCTTCTAAAAAAGTAAATAGTCATAAACATTGCTTATTGACTGAATAGCGGTTTGTAGTGTTGTGATTAAAGTACTTGACTGCTAACCAGAAGGTTGGCTGTTTGAACCCGCCAACTGCTCCACAGGAGAAAAATATGGCAGTCTGTTTCCATAAGAATTCATAGCCTTGGAAACACTTTGGGTGCAGTTCTACTCTGTCCTATATGGCTTCTGTTAAAATTGACTTGATGGCTTGGGCTTTTTTTTTTTTGGACTAACTAGGAGTTTATTGTATTCCAAGTTTTTCCCTACTTCGTTCTCTTTGCCATTTCCTACTTTCTATACTAGGTCTCATCACTTGTTTGTCCATTTGTCATACTATGTGTCCTTCTGTGGTGCTGTGATGCTGGAAGCTATATCATTGGTATTTCAAATGCCAGCAGTGTCTCTTAATACTCGTTAGAGTCAAGGATGTCTAGACTGTCTCGTGTACTTTCACCATGTTATCAGATGACACCAGTCACTGAAAAAGGACATCATGATTGGTAGAGGAGCAACAAAAAAGGGGAAAACCCACAAGATGGATTGACACCATGACTGTAACAATGGGCTCTAACATAAGAACAATGGGGGGGGG